TTGTTTGATTGCAAAGCTGTTGATAAATGCTTAATCACATGCAAGTTATTTTGTATGCTGTTCTGAATTCACTCTACTTCAGGCTGATGTCTTTGAAATATAAATGAAGTATAAATAGAATGGAAATCTCCCTTGAGTTCAAAGATTTAGAACATCAGGATATTACATTATGAGAAAAGCCTGACCTGACTATCAGATCAGACACAATTCTTCAGAAAGTAGAGGCAGAAAGAGACGTGAGTCATCACTTTGCTTTAGTCATTAGGTTAAATATAAGAGTTCAAAATAAGATGCTGCATCTACATTAACACTGGCAACTTATCTTCACAAATTAAGTTTTGTTGCCCTGGCAGCTAGTACTTACAAGAGTTTAGCAGGCAATTAAAAAAATCTGCAATTACTTATTAATGTGTTTACTAATAATTCACTGTCCAAATAAGGATACTGTAAGAAAGAAATTGCTAATGGTATTCAGAAACATAACATATAATGGTTATAGCTCAGGAAAATTGTGAACATAGTGTGGTTACGACCATACTTTTTTTATGTTAAGAAAAGTTTCAGGCACTATGGAAAGACATAGAAAAATAGGGACATATCCTCAAAAACAGACAACATTTTTAAAGAAATAAAATCTACTCCCATTTGAATGTTTTTCAATGTGTGTAATTATCAAAACATCACCTGACACCCCACAATTTTTATGACAGTTAAAAATAAAGCCACAAATCAGGAAAAACATGGTATTTGTCTTTTGGGGCTGGGCTTATGTCAATAAACATGCTTGTCTCTCCTTGCCTTCACCTGAATGCAAAGGACAGGATCTCAAAATTGAAGACATGTCATTAAAAATTAAGAGCAAACAAGAAAAGAAATGGATGCAGAGAGAGAGAGGATAGGATACTCTCAGAACTGTGTATATGAACAATACATTTGTTCCTTTTCATAAACAAGTTTTTTGAAATCTAACATCATCCAAGACTTATGAATGGCACATCTAGAGGGCAATCCTAAAGGTTCTATAATTAATCACTAAAACAGAAGTATTCTATAAAATACTATAGTAATCCCAATATAGAAATCTCCTTGTTGAAAGCCTCATGAAGAAAAAAATAAATCTGAGTATAGAGATGTGGAATATCACAGAATTTAAGCTAAAATCTATACAACATTGCTGACTAATTAAGATATTTTATACTTCCGTCGCCATGTTAGCAATTCCACCATTGCTCCATAAAAGAAGGCTGGGTTATTGCAGTTGAAAAATGCATTGTACTTATAGATAAGTATCTGTCAATGCTATGGCATGACTTTAAGCAAATGCATTTAATGTTTCTTTTGATATATAGTGAATTCATTTCCAACGTGCTGTATCAAAAGCACATTGTCACACCACAGTACATAGTAAATGATCCAAAACTCAGAGTTTCGTACAAGGTGTTCTGGTTGCCTAGTGTCTGTAGGGTAACAGTGTTTCTGCCGTTGGGAGCAGGGCTTTGCTCTCTGGTTTGAACTGGCTGGACTTGGATCAGGCTGTGTGGTTCAGTTCATACCTATTATATATGAGCTTCTGAGATCCAGGCAAAAGACACAGGGGCCAAGGGCGGCTCTTAATACAAGTATTAAAAAAAAAAACACGACATAAACACAGTTAAGATTCTCATGTCACATCTGGAAGAAATCATTGGCTGAAGCCATCTAGCTAGCGAGTACCAACCTTATGGGTCAAGAAGCATGCTTTACAGAAGGGTAGGGTTATTTACTGAATGGTAAATTAAACTAGCCTGACTTTCTTTCCAGGAAGATTTCCTTTCAATAGCATTTCCATTACACCGTTTCTGATCCTTTGCTGATACTCCAGAATGAAATATTCCAGATATTCCATGATTAGGTAGAGTAGAAAGTTATCACTTTGGGCTGTGTATAAATTGTGTATTCAATGGAAGAGTAAGAATCACTGACTGCTATGTGCATGTTAAAGACCTCAGGGAAGATGTGAAGAAACATTCTACTCAGATAGTCAATTTTTAAATATTTCTTTGTTTTATTTATGGAGGAGAGACACAAAGAGGCAGAGAAAACTCACGTTCACTGGTTTACTTCTTAACTGGTCACTTCCTTTAGGGCTGAGCTGTGGCCAAAGCCAAAGTTAAGAAGAAAGCCAAGTCTGGTGCCTGGGTTGCAGGATTCCAGTTACTTAAGGCACGCCGCTGTGCCTTGCTGAGCCTGCTTCAGCAGGTGTCAGAAGTTACTCAGTGTGGGACATGGATGCCTGTGTGTGTGTGTTTTACCACAAAATGCCTGTTTTTAGTTATTATTTATTCATTCGTGAAATTTTTTTAATTGAACGTATATTCTGTGCTTGGCACTCTTACTAGTCCCAGGTCACAAAAACAAAGAAATAAGTCCCATCCTGAAACAATTCATGGTCTATATCAGGTATCAGGAGGAAGCGTGTGATTAAGTACATTGTTGTGATAGGAATTCAAGTTAGCTATAGTGATACAGCTGATGGTAGCCATAAATACAAATCTAGGGAGCAATTGCTAGAGACATGATGGATTTTGAAACTACAGAGAAGGAATTAAGTGAAAGTGATTTAGCATGTAGATCAGTATAAAGCAGCCTTTATATATCAGTGAGCAATAGCAGGAAACTCCCTTTCCTGTTTCCTTTCCAGAGTTGGAACCTGAAAAAAACTAGTTAAGCATTTAATAACATGATTGGTGTTCCAACAGTTCTCAACAAATGTTGTAAATACTCTTTCCACTACATCATAGCATCTAGGTTTTAGCGCCATTTTGCCTCACTTTGCTATCATTGTTGTGACTCTCACATTATCTGAAATCCATGCTTTTGAACAAAAAAAGGGTGTCTGAATCTCTTACTTACATATGTTGCTATGGAAGGATGTTAAAAAAAGTTAGAGCTTTACAAATAGATGTAATTAATTGGAAGAGTTAAGTATAATTAATTTTAAAGGGATATAAATACACAGTATGAGTAAACATGGATTTCAATTCTCTCACTCAAAATAACTTATTTTAATTGCTTTTTTATAAACCACCTGAAGTACCTTGTAAATAACGATAGTCTGAAATAGATGAGCTATATAGTTTTTTTTTTCAGTTGTAAGACAGCTTAGTCATGTTTCATAATATCACAGGTGGGATAAGTGCTATAGCTGCCACTTGAACAATATTGATTAAATCTGAGAGAGTTACTCTTTCATGGTACTCATCATATTCCATTGAGGAGAAAGAGTGAAAATGACCCTCAAGAGTAATAAAGGGTGCAATACTTAATATATATTATAGTTCCAACAGAATGTTTGGCACATGGTAGCAAAGAAATATTGTAGTTCTGATCCCAGTGTCCTGATAATGTACATACTGTGTCCTAACACCTACATGGAAGATCTGGCTTTGAGTTTCTGCTTTCTGACTTTCAGAGTATTCTGTATTTGGCATTTGAGGAGTGAATCATTGGGTAGAAGGTGATTGTGTCATTTTTCAAAATAATAATAGTAATAACAACGAGAAGAAAATCCAAAAAGGGAAAATAGGTACTATGAAAAAAGACTATGCATGGTTCTCTAAATTTTTGCTACTTAAGTAAACTTGGCTTATTTATTTAAGATTTATTTATTTTTATTAAAAAAGTCAGATCTTTAATCCACTGGTTCACTCTGTAAGTGAACGCAATGGCTGCGGATAAGCCAATCCGAAGCCAGGAGCCAAGAGTCAGGAACTTCTTCCAGGTTTCCCACATTTTATCCTTCCCATGGCTTTTGGCCATCCTCTAGTAGTTTCCCATGCCTCATTCAGGGAGCTGTATGAGCAGTTGAGCAGCTGGAAAATGAAGAAGTGCCCATATGGGATCCTGGGGCATGCAAGGTAAGGATTTAGCCGTTGAGCCATTAACATCAGGCCTATAAATTTAGCTTTTAATTTCGTTTCTCCACAAACATTGTTAAGAACACTTATCCAGCTCAATTAAGGGAGTTAAATTTCAGATACAAATGCATTTGCTTTTAATGATTTACCAAATTGCCAATGATAAATATAGAATTAGAGATTTTTCTTATCAATATTTTTATATAAAGGAGTTCAATATTTCAGGATTTGGCTCTCAAAGTTTAGTGCGCTTGTAAAAGCACCAAGAGTGCTTTTTAAAGAAAAACTCAAGATCTCCATCCTGGATTGTCAGATTAAGTACTACAAAATAAAGAACAGAAGATTGCATTGTTAACAATCAATATCTCAACCCCTTTCTCCAGGTCATTCCCAAGGAAAAAGCATCTGTTTGGAATATGGACACTGGATTGACTGTCTGGCACAGTAGTCAAGATACTACATGGGATGCCCAAATAGCATGTTAGATTACATCGGATCGGGCTCAACTTCCTTCCAAGTTTCATATTCATTTTTTTTAAAGTTTATTTATTTTTATTGCAAAGGCAAACATACAGAGAAGAAGATTTCTTGTCAGATGGCTCACTCTCCAAGTGGCTGCAAAGGCAGGAGCTGCACCAACCCAATGCCAGGAGCCAGGAACTTCCTTCAAGTTTAACACATGGGGGCAGGGTCCCAAGGCTTTGGGCCGTCCTTGACTGCTTTTCCAGGCCACAGCAGGCAGCTGGATGGGAAGCAGGGTGGCCAGGATTAGAACCGGCTCCTATATGGGATCCTGGCACATTTAAGGCGAGGACTTTAGCCACTACTTTAAGGAGCCGGGCCCCTCAACTAGTATATCACGCTGGCAGCAAGTGATAGCTCAAATATGGGGGATTTACTGTTGCTATGGGGCACCTAAATTGAATTTTATCCTAGTTTTGCTCTGCCAGTCCTGGCTTTTGTGTCCATATGGACACATTTTTTTTCTCTCTTTCTCTTTCTTCCTGTATGTTTTTCTGCCTTTCACACCAATAATAAATTAAATACAAATACTTAAAAGTTTGAAAAGAGCATGGATACAATTTTTCCCCCCGAAGGGGACCCACATGAGGTCCGTGTGTGGAAAAGGGGTGTAGTTGCTGCGTACTCCCATCACACTGGGCCTGATTCCTGTGAGGTGCGGTGTAAACAGAAAGGCCATTTCTTGGGCCCCTCACTCAAAGCGCACCCCAGGATGCAGTATTTTGTTCCAGAACATTAGTATTAATACAACAAACTACCATGTAGATTTTTGTTTATTATTATCTAACTTGGCAATTTTGAGACTCATATTCAGATTTATATATAGAGGTTTGGTTTCAAAGAAGCCAAAGGAGTCCATGAAAAGTTAAAAGAAAAGTAATAAATGATTACATCTCCTTAATTGAGTGGCATATATGTTATTTTTGTTCATATTTAACTATATTTAGGTGTAGTTAAAATATATCCAATTTATACAGACACAAGCTCAGAAAATATGTTGAAATATTTTTCAAATAGTGCATGTTTAAAAGACCAAAAATAAAAGAAATTTTATAAAAGACCAACAGTAAGAATAGCAATCTGAATAAGAGTTAACAGTAAACATAGGGTAATTTTAAATGGAACATATTTTAAGGGCGAAAATTAGATGAATGATTTCTAAAAAAAAAAAAAAAAATTTTTAAAAAGAGAGAGAGAAAAAAAGAAAAGATAATGGAAGAGCAAGTTACTTAGAAAAGACCAAGCAGGGTAAGAAGTTTTAATAAATAATTGCAGATGAAGAAACTAAATGGTTTGGGTATCTGCAGTTTTCTGGAGATTGAAACAATAATGATGATAAGCACTAAGATAATAAAATGGGAATATTTTAAAACTAGTGGAAACAGAAAAAAAAAAGCTGAAGGAGAGGAAAAAGGACAATAAGAAGATGCCGACAGTAGATTAAAGATGCCATTGTCTTGAAACATGAACAGGTGTAACCAGTTGTAGTTCTTGGGCTAATTCTGAATCCTTGGAAATATCTTCAGGGTCAGAGGTCAGAAAACAAAGCTCTTGGCTTTTGTCCTTTCTCATACATGTCTGCCTGGCAGTCCGTTAAATTATCTGCAAAGGAAGTCCCAGTCCAAACACTTCTGACCTCCTGTGGGATCACTGCACATTCTCATCCACCCGGAAGCCCTTGCTTCTGTAAGAAAGTTGTTTTGATGTATCCCCAGAACATTTCAGCTTGTTGATCGTAAGGGACAATGATGCTTTCCTCTCTTAATGGGTAATTTATACCCCAATTACTCTAGTATTTATTTGCATCTGGAAATAAATGACTTTTTGATTTTCAGGAAATAACTGAAATTTCAGGCTTTGAGCAAAACTGCTAAATATTGTGGCAAAATATTAGGAGCCTTTAAGTGTCAGATGATCCTTGACAACACAAGAATAAGAAGTGTTTTGCACTTTATCACTCGGGATTATTTAGTTTCTTACTTGATTTTTTTTTGACATTTAACAAATATTAGCCTTTTTTCCTTCCCTGAAGTTATTCATTAATATGACATATTCACTGAGCACCAGCCATAAACCAAGGATAAACCAAGGACAGTTCAAATCAAAGCCCATATCATTCAGGCAAGAAAATAAAAGAAACCCCAAATCATCACTTAGTGGTATGTGCTGTAAAGGGGTTTAATTATGTTTATATACTAGTGAACAGCTGCTATGCTAGAAGGTAAGGCTAGCTAACTCTGAGAATATGGTTTCGAAACTCAAATACTGATCTTAAAAATACATATTCCATTCACTCTTTGTTAAAGGAGAAAAAAGTGTTACAGGAGAATGAGCTTGGAAACTTCCGGAAAACGAGTGACAGCCAATATGACAAACCCAGAATGGACAAGGAGTCAGGCTTGGGGTCATACTCTTACTGGAAAAAACTATGGAAGTCAAGAAGGTCTTCCTGCGTCTCGTAGTAGCTTGCATATTATTCTAGGTAGAATAAGTTGTTGGAAGTGATTTCAAAGTTACATGCTTATGTATTTCATTTATTTAAGAGATGGGTGCAGAGAAACATATAGAGAGATCTTCTGGCTGTTTCACTTCCCCATTGGCCATTATAGCCGAGAACGTGTCAGGCTAGACCGGGAGCTCTCCCTTCACAATTTCAAGGATGCAAATGCCACACTCTTCTGCCTCTCACAATGTCTACAAGTAGGAATTTGCAATCAGCAGTGAAATCAGAGCTTGAAACCACACTGTGCCTGATGTCTAGCATTGTTGGAGGATTTTAAACAGGAGACTGGCATGCCGGAATTCACACAGTCATAGGGATAACTTCTTTACTGTTTTGTGGAAAGTGTCTGATGCAGCAAGAAGTGTGCGATCAGTACAGTACAAAGGTTATGGCTACAGATCCTGCAAAGAGGCTCTGCAGGATGGAAACAGTTGGCATAGGAGTGAAAAGATCTGGGTCCTTCTCAGATGGCAAAGTCAACTGAGCTTGCTGCTTGTTGATGCAGACAAAAGAACCCTTTGAACTATCATTGTTTTAGGCAAACTGATATGTGATTTCTGTGTGCACTGAAATGGGGGAAGACGTGGTGAGAAGCTTAGTGGCATATTCAGGATCTCTCTTGGCTAGGTTTTATCTGAGATGAGCATGTACTTATATTCTTATAATAATACGGTGTTCTAGGAGAAAAATTAAAGCTCAAATTGAAAAGCCAGATACTTGTGGCATGTTAGATGCTGTGAAGATTGTTTTCAGTCATCATGGTTTTGTGTATTTCTTCTAGAAACAGTGTATCTGTTTTAGTAACCTTAGGTTGTTGGGCAAATGTTCCCATCTATGCAATGATCTTCCTTCTTCAGGCACTATTAAACTTGCTTATTCTTCTAAACCCCAAGTCCCTACACATGACATAATAATCTAGGAAAACTCTTTTTGTTATTACTCTATGAATACCCTTGGAGTCTCTATACCCTTTTTTCTCTCTTTTCTTTTCTCTGAAAAGATTTATAGTTCCCCAAAAGTTTCACCTAGTAGTGATGTAGAAGAAGAGGAACTCAAAATATTATTTCACTTGCTCTGAAGTCTAAATAAAATATATCATTTATTCATCGCATTGTATCTACTTCTAAAAAGTAGAATATCAGGTTCAGAATTTTTATATACACTTAAGTGATATTTTAGCGAGTCTTCAGTAGATGTGGGTCATTATTTTCAATATCATTTTTGTCTGAAAAAGCTCTTGCTGTTTTGTCCATATAAAGATAATGAAATATATTAAGAGCTTAACCTTGGATGAGATAAATATGCATTTCTGTTTACTTTCCTGGGGGATGCTTGGGAGGTCACCTTAGCAAAGAGGAGTTGGTAAGATTACTAAGGACTGTCACAGAGAGCAGGCTTGCAGGACAAGTGGGAATCACGGACGCTGCCATGGGGACAGGACTGGACAGCAGGGAGCTGAGCCGCTGACTGCTGCCAGTGGACCTTTCGCACACATGTTGTGGTCTGCTGCAAAGGGAACTTTCTTGTCCTGGTTTGCTGGAGTCAACTTCCAAAGCTGTGTGCAAGAGCAATTTTGGCTGAACTCTCCGAGGATAGGCATCAGGCATGTCTGGTGGCTCTGGTCACCTTCAACAGAAAAAGGCAGTGGCAGGAGGAAAGCATCATATTTATGTTGGGCCACAGACGTTGGAACATTAAAAACTGAGGGGCTGCTACTGTAGCCTTGCAGATGAATCAACTATTACTTATACATCATTAAAGCTTGAGAAAAACAGCTTTGAGTCATAATTCTGGCAGTTAATATCATTGAAATGCATTGTATCATTTCAAGGTATTAAAGGAATGATAATGTGATTCTTAGTATTAGGAAAATGCCATGATTATCAATATTATTATGAGCATAAATATGACAATCTTGCCTAAATCAGTCGCATAAGATAAAAAGCATGCAAATTTATGTTTAGATTATGTAACAACTGATGCTCAAAATTAAAACAAATTACTCAGTGATTATGAAGCAACTGTCCTTCAATGGCATTCATTTAAACATGTAAGGTTAACAGCAAGTAATTTGTTTTCAAAGCCAAATATCTAGAATATAATTGGAGACATTGGTTGATAGTACAATAGTTCACTTTGCTGTAACTAACTCTTCTTAATTATTGCATTTTCATTTTAAGACCCTGTCAGTGCCATGCAGTGCTGCCCTCTTCATGTACAAGGTACTAAAAGAGGCACCGGCCCTCAGGAAGCAGCAAAGCTTCTGACAATCTCAGCAAAATTTGAATTGTGTTCTCCTCAAAGCAATTTTGATATAAAATTATCTTTGAGCACATCATAGCCTGTAGTACAGTCCGTTCGTCTCAACCTGCCTGGCCCTCACCCGCTTTTAAAGGACTTCCCTTTTACTATTACTGTAAAGACCAAGGAAAAAGGAGATAGCTCTCTAAACCTCAAAAGGGAAGGAATTGATCTACTCTTTATTATGCATTATTATGTCCTTTTAAAAATCTTATCATGTATTAGCAGTAATATTCATGACACTGGAGTACACTTACAATCGTCAGCCTTCATGGTTATCAAAAAGCTTCACTTTAGCATTTAATCAACTCTAAAAGCCATTCATTGCTTTGGATATTCCCACTGCAATGAACATTATCCATAATCATACATGCATTTTTTAATATAGAGAAGCAAGATGACATAGGGGATAGAACATAGTCCTGGGAGGGACTTACCTAATTTTTAAAAGGGCATTTTAATTTCCATAATAAGTTCTCTCATGAGCATGCTGAGTGGCCATTTAATCTGCCAGGTTTGGGAAAAAAATTTAGTAGCATTGTTTGACTTTCTGACTTCAGGACTTCTTTTCAGGGAACGAGCTGGTACCCTGGTACTGCGCTTAAAGCTGCAGCAAAAGAGTCTGTTTGGTGTTGGTAGAAGCTGTCACCTATAGCGGATACTGAGACACAGAAAAGCCTGTCAAACCTCTGGTGCGTCTTCTTTTCATGAGCAAATACCTGCTCTTCTCTCTGAAGGGATACCATCTGAGAATCTTAGTCACTCTATCTAGGAGAGTAGATGAGAAAGGCAGACCTGACCCACACATACTGCATGTCTTTGTTATGTTCAAATATACAAATATAGCCTTGCTGGCTTACAACAAAAAAACAAAACAGAAAGAAAGAAAAGAAACTAGAAAGGCT